CACCTCGTCGGGTTTGTTTGCCCATTTGAACTGTGACATTTTATGGTCTGAATCTTTTTTGCATCATTCATATTACTGTCACTATTTTCAGTTCTCAGATTATCTGGAGTCACTGAATCTTGTTAATACACCTGAATCTGTCCATCACTGCAACTTTCACTGTTTTTGGGTTCTGAATGATCACGTCTTCATTAATGTTTCTCATGGTTCAATTATGGGGGATAATTGCCACACTGTTAACTCCTGTAATTACACATCAGTCACAAAAAACTCAAGAAAATGTCTGATAATAATGTTGTTACTGCTCTCAGGTATTCAGCCCAACCCTGGACCCCCCACTAATTACAGCACACCAAATGACTTTAAAAATGCCTCTGGGCTTCATTTTCTGCATGTAAACGCTCGTAGCCTTCTGAAAAAACTTGATGCTGTGAAAATCCTGGTCAGTTCTTCTGGGGCTGATGTTATCTTTATTTCTGAATCCTGGCTCAACAAATCTGTAATGAATAATGACGTGGCAATCAATGGATTTAACATCTACCGCTGTGATCGTCAAAAAAGGGGGGGGGGGTGGAGTCATTATTTACATTAGAGATACCCTGGTTTCAAGTCTTGTGACTTCCAAAACAATTCCAAATCAGTTTGAAGCCTTATCTGTAAACATCACCTTGAATGGAGGCCAGGTTTTAACTGTAGTCTGCTGCTATCGTCCACCATCCGCTTCTCCTGAGGCATTAAAATGCCATTAAGGAATTCCTTGGTAATTTAAAATTCACAGAGGTCTTTTTAGCTGGAGATCTCAACATTGATTGGTATAAGTCGACCCCCCTCTGTGACAAATTCAAGGAATGTTGCTTGTCTTTTAAGTTAACCCAACTGATCGACTCCCCCACCAGATTAAATAAAAGCCACCCTGACAATTCCTCCATCTTAGACCTGTTTCTAACTAATATGCCTCACAAATTCCCTGGTACAGGTGTATTCGCTGATCTTTTGAGTGATCATTGTGTGACAGCGGCTTTAAGAAATATTAAACTTCCACCTTCTAAGCCCAGATTAATTCAAAAAAGGGATCTGAAACATTTCTGTGAACAGTCATTCCTCTGGGATCTGTCTCACTTTGACTGGCATCGTATTCTGTTAACTGATGATGTGAACTCTGCTTGGAACTATTTCCATAATAATTTCATTTATTTCCTGAACTTACATGCTCCTTTTCGTCAGTTCAGAATAACGGGACGAGACAGCCCCTGGTTTACTCCAGAGCTAGCTGACCTCCTGCACAGGAGAGATCATCTTTGGGCTGCAGCGAGAAAATCTGGCTCAGACACTGACTGGTTGAGTTTCCGACAGATGAGGAATAAATGCACAACTGCTGTTAAAGCAGCAAAACGCAACTATTTCTTATCTCAGACTTCCAAAAATCTAAATGACCCTAACAGATTCTGGAAAACAATTAAATCTCTCTCAGGCACCCCCCAATCATCTGACATCCCATCACAACTTCTCATTAACTCTGTTCCTGTGTCAAATAAGCACGAGATCCTGAACTGTTTCAACAAACGTTTTGTTGCTTCTGGTTCTTTATTTGACACAGTTACGAACAGAAAATCAGCCACTTCACTTAATAACCAAACTTCTACAAATCAAATCCCTCCTACAAGTCAATCCTCAGTTAATCACACCTTCTCTTTTTCTCCATTCTCAGTCAGTGAGGTCAATAAACTGTTAAAAGATCTTGATCCTAAAAAATCTGCAGGTCCAGATGAACTTCCACCTTATTTCTTAAGGCTGGCTGCTCATATCATCACAGTCCCTGTGACCCACATCTTCAATCTCTCCATAAGACAAAACTCCATCCCAGACACTTGGAAAACAGCCTTTGTTCTTCCTTTGCTGAAGGGAGGTGACCCCACCTCACTGAACAACTATTGACCAATCTCTAAACTCTGCATTTTAGCCAAGGTTCTAGAAAAACTGATAAACTCTCAAATCAAAAATTACCTGGACTCATTTAACATCTTACCTCCACATCAATCTGGTTTCAGGAAACAACACAGCACAACCACTGCTTCACTGAAGGTTCTTAATGACGTTGTTGAAGCACTGGATGCTAAAGATTATTGTGCTGCACTTTTCTTAGACCTTTCTAAAGCTTTTGATACTGTGGATCATAACATATTGTGTCATAAACTCTCAGAAATCGGTTTCTCAGATCACACCATTGGTTGGTTCTCTAACTATCTTTCAGACCGGAGGCAATGTGTTCAACATAATGGTACTTCCTCCAGTTATTTAACATTCAACAATGGTGTACCACAAGGCTCAGTCTTAGGACCCACCCTCTTTACAATCTACATACATAATGTAGGTAAAAACATCCCTAATGCATCCATACATTTCTATGCTGACGACACAGTTGTTTATTGTCGAGCTAAAACAGTTGCTAAGGCTTTCCAGCTTTTGAAATCTGCATTCAACATCATCCAGACTGATTTGTTCCGCCTCAAACTTGTCCTAAATGCAGACAAAACCAAAGGGATGCTTTTTTCAAATAGGAAGTTGGTCCCAGCAGTTCTTCCTCCGATTTTATCCTCAAATGGTGTCCCCATTGAGTTTGTTGATTCCTATAAATATTTGGGTATCTTGGTCGACTCACATCTTTCTTTTAAGCTCCATGTGGAAAACTTGGTAAAGAAACTGAAAGTTAAACTGGGTTTCTTTTTCAGAAACAAATCCTGTCTAACCCTGAATGCTAGAAAACGCCTTGTATCTGTGACTTTCCTTCCCTGAATTGATTTTGGTGATATTATTTACATGAACGCTCCTACAAGAACCCTGCAGATGTTGGATGCTGTCTATCATGGTGCACTAAGATTCATAACTGGCTGTGATTATCGTTCCCACCACTGCACCCTGTATTCATTGGTTAACTGGACATCATTAACTTCACGCAGACTCTCTCACTGGTACATTTTCATATTTAAATCACTTCTTGGTCTGCTGCCTTCATACATCTCCTCCTACATGTCTCTGCGTGAGTGCAGCTACGGAGTGCGCTCTCAGGACATTATTACCTGCAGTGTTCCCTCAATGAGGACTGAACTAGGCAAAAGGGCCTTCTCCTACTCCGCTCCTGTTTCCTGGAATATCTTACAAAAAGATTTGAAGCTCTCGACCTTGACCTCTCTAAGTGGCTTTAAGAATCTGTTGGACTCCTGGCGGGGTCCAATGCAGACATGTTCCTGTTTTTAGTTTTATACATTTGTCTTGGAATCTAGCTGTTTTTTTGTTTTGTTACCTTTTTCCTTTTAGCCATCTTATTTGTTAAAAAACAAACAAAAAAAAAAAACTGTAGTATGAGTTTTTATAACTGCTTATTGTTGTTGCTGTTGTCCATTGTTGTCATCTTTCTTTGTTGAAATCAGGTCTCTCTTGTAAATGAGTCCTCGAGGCTCAATGGGATTTACCTGTATAAATAAAGGTTGATTGATTGATATACATATATACATATATACATATATACATATATACACATATATACATATATATATATATATATATATATATATATATATATATTAACTGATTAAGTCGTGGTTTAGACTGATTATTGCTAGAGAATATATTCTGACCCAAAGTGCAGACGTGACTGGTTCTGAATGAGGCTTTATGGCAGACAGCCGCTCCCCTCTCTTCCAGGTACTGCGTACTGGCGCAGAATCTTTTAGTGGCACACAGTACTGGAGCGTACCGGCATACTTTCACCCCTGGTTGAGACGTTACGTTCTGTTGTCTGTGTTGTTCTGTTGGTACAGAACCACTTGTGAGTGAAAGGGGGTGGGAGTGACAGCTATAACAAAAACATGTACTTAGCAATGAGTCACGTTATCACTTAGATTTGAATCAGTACGTTTTTTATCCAATAAAAACAAAGATGTTAAATAAACTGGACAATATTCTGGCAGTTTAGTGATATTTCTACATTCTATGTCGTCTCGACTGGTCTTGAAATAAAATCCCGAGTCCTCAATGTCTGAGACCGAGAAAAGACAGAGACCATCAAAAAGTGGTCTTGAGTACTACAACACAAACTGGGAGTTTAAGGTGGGTTTGAGCAAACAGCAGTCTTTCTTCATGAGGCATTTTCAGATGTGGAGTTCTTTAAAGAAGCAATGATGAATAATGTGAAAAGTAATTTGTTCAAAAGTGTAAAAAGATGTGTAATCACATTTCCATATATGTAAATTTATTAAATTAATACTATAATTAAAGATGAGTCGTGCAAATCAAACGAGCAGTGCTTCATATCACTCGGACCCACTGGAACAGCGCTCAGTCTCAAAAAGTTTGGTGACCCCTGTATAACAGTACATACTGGTTTTACAACAACAAATGCTCCCATCTAGAGGTCTTTATGGGGAAGAGATGTTAACCCACATACTGCATTCAATACAACTAGAGACGGGATGTACGGCTCTTTGAAGGGAACTGGATCTTGATGATCCATTCCCTTCAAAGAGCCGTTCACATACACCGTATGGGTCATAGCACGTGTCTTATCAAGCAGCAACCCCCTCCCCATTGAGCTGCTGCACTCCTCTGCCTGCTCTTTGTTTCAGTGAAAAAGTGAGGGAAGAGCAATTTCTCTGTATTTGAAGTGGAAGACGTGAAGAAATTATTATTATTGTCTGCAACTTAGTTCTTAATCATTGTAAAGAGCCTTTTCAAATTATCCCGACTGCTCGTGGACGACACATCTGTAAATAAAGGAGTGTGGTTTCATAGTCTAAGTTTGTGTGTAGAACTATCCTGCCTGCAGTCCACGATCAAATGAATTGATAAACTGAAAATGGTACAATTCATTTGTTAAAGCATTTTATAGGGTTACTGTTTTTCATTGTGTCTACAATATGGGTATGTCACTGTATTTTTATATTTTATAATATTTTTGTAATTAAGGTTGTAAATGATAAATGAACGTGTTGTTACTGTCTCACCTTACATTTTGCCGTCAAGCTACAGCGTTCTTCACATTATTCTCCAGGAATGACCTTTAGACAACAAACAGTTCATCATCATCATCATCATCATCAGGCAGAATACTGCACAGCTGCTCAGAACAGTTTACATAGTGAGGGGTGTAAAAGTACAGACATTTTGTAAAAGTGCTCATTTTCGTTTATTTGCAGAATGCAAACAAATAATGAACGAGATTAAAGAAGACCGACCCATTATTTGCTGATTTATTACTGATTACAGTAAGTAAGACATTAATATTATTATTATTAATTATATTAAGTTGCACACCAACAAAACTCACTGCATTAAGGACAAGTTGTGTTTGGCATGGTCTTTATGACTGATAAGTAGATGTTTTATTACACAGCTAACCCACACACCCAAAGGGAAAAAAAAGTTAAAAACACGTAGCCTGTAAAAATATGACCTAATTACTGTTATATAATCAGACCCTGTGTGTTTTGTTTGCTACCACACCCTGTTCAGTTCACATAATAAATCACAGAGAGTGTGCAGTTTGTGCACGTGCCTTGTTGTGGGGTTTTCTGAATGAAACCACGTGAGTAGAGTTTGGTTTGGATCACAGCTTTGCAGTCTTAATTAATCAGGCCTTCAGAGTCATTCTCTTTTAGAGATATTAAATGAAGCCTAAACCTTAAATGCAAAGGTGACTATTATCCACAAGTGGACTAAAACTTACGTCTGGTCACCTTCTAGTGACTTCTGGATCTCCTGAAGAACCTCTGTAAGAAACAAATCGTGACAGACAGCTGAATGTTCTCTGCATATGAAGAAGTCAGCAGCAGCTTGTGAGAGGCTGCTGCTGACAGTAGACCCATGTGGGATCTCATTAACCAGTTATGGAGGCTGTCTGACGATAAAGGGAGCAAAAAGCTGACACACCCATTAAAGGTAGAACATGATGCAACCAGAACTGAATCAAGACACAGATGAGCCTGTCTGGAGGATTCTGTTCTGTTTTGGAGTACTCACTCTCATCATTCAGCAACGCATGCTCCATAACGCATCTAGCTGCACTTTCTGGAATACACAGGCAGCAGGCAGAGGACACATGACAGCAGGACAGACACAAAGAAAGTGTGTGTTTAAATCAGCTCAACAGGGGGACGCTACATGCAGTAGTATCTACGTTGGATGCACATGCAGGTCAAAATATTAAATCTGTCTTACCAGTATTCTCACTGTGCTGAGCGGTTCTAAGAAAAACAAAAAAGACAAACAGAAAGCAACATCTTATCATTTCCTGGGAATATTAAATCCAGAGTGAGAAAATGAGAACAATTCCTGAAAAAATGTTTGATGGTGCGTTTAGCTGTGGTTAAAGTAAGTTTTGGGAATAACAGTCATCTACTTCTACACCCAGTGTAGCTCAATATCTGTAAAAATGACTGAGGGATAACCACTTGAAGTTATTTGGTTAAACTTCAAGAGCGTCACTGCAGCTACAGGCAAATGGTGATATCTGGTTATAACTTAGAGTATTTGTCATGGAGTACTCTCAGCAACCAGCACACCAAAGTGTAGTTTAATATCTTTAAAACTGATCATGGTATAGCTAGATTTGTGTTTGATAAGGTACAGTGGTGCTTCAAAGTTTATGAACTTTTTATAATTTTCTATATTTCTGCATCAATGTGACCTAAAACATCATCAGAGTTTCACACAAGTTCTAAAAGTAGATAAAGAGAACCCAGTTAAACAAATGGAACAAAATATTAAACTTGATCATTTATTTATTGAAGGAAATAATTCAATATTTCATATTTGTGATGGTAAAAGTATGTGAACCTTTGCTATCAGTACCTGGTGTGACACCCACCCCACCCGTTCAGCAATAACTACAACTAAATGTTTTTTTTTTTTTTTTTTAATTCAGATATTGACATTAACATTTTGCATAGCTCACCTCATAGACAAAATTTGTTGGTATAGCTTAACCAAAGCTATGACAAATAAGCATGGTTCATTTTCAAGTCCATGTGGCTTTACTCAAGATCATTTCCTTATGTCTATACAGGTTTTGTTTGTGGGAACAAAGAAAGAAAAAATTAAGAACAAACTAACAGGGTCAGAGAGTGTAGCTATAACAGGTGTGTCAGTTACGAGACTGTAAATCCACAAAAACTTTACATTGAATCAATGAATTTTGTTTATAAAGTACAAACTAAAGTCAGGTGGCATCCTTTCATATCGAATTATTTGTTTCTCTCAAAAAACAAACAAAAAATAAATAAATAAATAAATAAAACAACAACAAAAAAAAACAAAACAAAAAAAAAAACCTTAGATTATTTCTGGCATATATATTTTGAGATATTTTTCCCATTTATTCCAATGTTTAAAAAATAAGTCTGTTTTTAAATTAACTGTGAAGGTTATTTTTTCCATTTTGTAAATATCTGCCTCTATTTGAGCCCATTCTCTAGCAGTAGGTTCTTTCTGTACCATCCATTTTTTTGTAATTGCCTTTTTTCCAGCCGCTACATGTATATTCCATAGGTATCCGTCAACTGATTGCATTTTGGGGGTTTTGCATCCTAAAAACATGGTTTTGAAGTTCAATGGAATGTTGATTTGAAAAATGTGGTTAAATGAGGCATTTAAAGCGGCCCAGTATCTTTGGAGAGTATAACAATCCCAGAAAACATGATAATGATGGGCATTCTGACAACCAGTTTCTCCAGCATTGACTATTTCCTTGTGAGAAATGGGCGCTTTGACGTGGGGTGATAAAACAACGAGTCATACATTTCCAACTAAATTCTTTCCGAAGGTGAGATTTTGTGCACCTCCATTGGGATACACATATTTATTCCCATTCTTCATTAGTTATAACAAGACCTGATTCCTTTTCCCATTTATTTTTAATATACTGCGTTGAGAGTGTATTAAAGTTTGATATAATCTTATATATTTTTGAAATTAATCCTTCCGACAATTTTGATTTGTAAGACTTTATTATTAGTTCAATCAGTGGGTTGCATTGATCTGTGTTTTGTTTGATTTCCTGGTTATAGTAACTTCTTATTTGTAGATATCTATAAGAATCATCTTTTTCCAAATTATAATTTTCTTGTAATGTGTTGAAGCTTTCCATTTTATTATCTTTCAAAATCTGGAAAATTACTTTTATACCTTTTGTGATCCAGGTTTTGAATCTGGGGTCGGTGCTATTTGGTAGAAAGCTTTTGTCATATGCTAACCAGTTTAATACCTTAATTTCTTTGTTTAGTTTGTTTGTTTTTACAACTTCTCTCCATGTTGTTAGTGTTGATTTAACCCATTTATTTTCCAGTTCGTCTATCAAATCAAGCCGTTTAGTGTCTGCTATTATCGCTTGCAATGGGACATCTGAGAACCAACTGCTTTCTTTCTCCTTCCACTTTGCTTCATAATTTGGATCACACCAATAAAGTAGAGTTCGAATTTGAGTGGAGATGAAATAGTTTTTGAGGCTGGGGAGGCCCCATCCTCCTTTATCCTTTGATAATTGTAATGCTTTGTATCGAATGCGAGGTCTCTTTCCGTTCCATATAAATCTGGATATATCTTTGTCCCAATCATTAAAATAATGGTTTGGGATAGTTATTGGTAGAGTTTGGAAAAGGTAAAGAAATCTTGAAATTACATTCATCTTTATGGTTTCTATTCTTGCAGTTAAGCTTAAGTGGGGAATGAGATTCCATTTTTCCAGGTCTTTAACGGCTGAATAAAGGCGACTGTAGTTTATGTCCCTTATTTTATCAACATCTTTACAAAGTATTACTCCTAGATATCTAAAGGATTCGGTGTTCCATTTAAGAGGTAATTTCTTTTTAAAATCTTTGGGTGGGCACCATCTTTGGGTGGGCACCAGTAGGAAATAGTTTCTGTTTTTCCAATATATAATTTGTAGCCAGATAGAAGGCCTATTGTTTCCAGACTGCATTAGTTCTGGTATTTAGTTTTCTGGGTCCGCTAAAAACAAAATTATATCGTCTGCATAACATGCAATTTTGTGTTATTTTCTATCAATTGTAATACCTCTGATTGTTTTTGTTTGTCTGATATGTTGGGCTAGTGGCTCCAGATACAGGGCAAAAAGTAGAGGGGACCAAGCACACCCCTGTCTTACTCCTCTCTCCAGTGTAAGTGATTCTGTTAAGTAACC